ATGCTGATTTTCGAACTTGACCTGCGTATTATGAATATTCATCAGTTCTGTAAGTTTCAAGCCAAAAGCAAAAACGGTTTTCCACTTATCGTGTTATCGGTAAAAGTGCACGACGGCGACGACGGCGACGACGGCACCGACGGCGACGACGACAGACGCAGATGATGGCTATATGTACAGACACATCTGTGTCTGTACATAAAAAAAATGACAGGTGTCCCTTTTGTCTTGGCACAATTCACTAAAAACAAAATTAAGAATTAATGACAAAAGATGAGAAAAATATGTGTATAAAGAGGATTAATAACCCAAAAAATTATGTATTTATTAAATGCACATAAACATGCAAACATGTACACACACAGAACTGCAGTATAATCTAACCTTTGTGAGTAAAAGTGAGTAGAGATAATACAGCACCCCAAAATCTCCCTGAAACTTCTCCAGATTAGACTGGACCAGGTTGACAAGTTGTTCTCTTGAATCACATTGTTGGCACCTTAGAAAAGAGAACTTAATTTTTTTTTTTTACCAATTACACAGGCCATATAATTATTCACAGATTTATGAATGGTCATAAGACTACACCAAACCTAAATTATTGGCACCAAGCTTTTGGTGTTTATGTTATCACGACAAGTTAACAACATATAAATTCCAATTTTTTATTAATATTTTTCATTATAATTTTAAACTGGTCTATCAAAATTCTGCACAGAGAAAATCAATACCTGAGATTTAAATGAAATTGGTCATGGCACAGCTTCCTTCTCTTTGGACTCCTCTGCACATCCTCCTCTCCCCCAGATTCCTGTGGACCATCCTGCTCCTGCATCTCAGTAAAGCTATGGTCAGAGTACACCACTGTGTAGGAGGTGGCTGTGGTCTGCAGCAATATGGCACTGAGGGACTGACAGAGGAGATCCTTGGCAGTCTCATCTACAGGGGGAGTAATCAGATATGTCCGAGAGCTTATCATAACATGTCATATAATATCATATTATTATATCGTATCAAAGTATGGTAAATTAATATATTATATTATATTAAATTATATTATATATAATATAATATAATATAATATAATATAATATAATATAATATTATATTATATAATATTATATAATATTATATTAATATATTATATTATATTATAAGCTAACGGTATACTTGTGTTTTGCTGGATGTGGGTTGGCACTGCACATTTTTAGTTATAAAAAAGACTTAGAGACTGGACTCTCTCTTCAAGTAACAAAATTCAATAAAATCTGGGAATGCGTCAATCATCTGGGTTCATTCTTGCATGGAATTTACTTAAGACAGATACCCAAATGATTTTACTAAAAGAGAACCAGAACGAAAGAAACTAAGTGAAATTAGTTTACTTGCATTTTCTCTATGTCAAAATTAGAAGATGCTATGATATTTACTAAGTATACTTCACTGAGGCTAAAGTAACACAAACCTGAATGCTCCCTCCATTTCTCTACTGCCTCGTTTTCTTCAGTGAACAAAGCAAACCTCAGTAAAAATGCCTGCACTGGCACAATAACAGCACAGGGGCCACCCTCGTATTGTAACAATGCAGTGGGTTCATCTGCACTGAGAACAAAACCTAAAAACAAAATACCAAGCTGTATTTGAAGAAACAGCAAAACCTAAATAAAGAATAAATAAACTGATAATTGTTTTTGGTGAAATTAATCATGCATGTTGCTATGAAATTAAATAAATATTGTGCAGAAAAACTAAACAATAGGAGCGAATTCGAATTAGATGAGTTCAACAGTCGATTTCAAAATAGGTGCTCATCAACATGTTATTTATCAGAACCCCCCCCCCCCCCTTCTCCAAATTCAACCATCATTAATACCGTCACAGCAATCAAGTATCGCAAAGATTAAGTCTAGGCAATATAATTCTAAGACTGTTACGGCATAAGGAGCCTTGATGTTGAATAAATGGTGTGATCAGTTTTCCAAAAGTGAAACTTCCTCACCAATGCCGTATCACGTGCAGTGTCAAAATAAAGAGAAAGGAAAGTGGGAATTTACCTTGTGTCCACCGCAAGAAAACTTCATCGGTCAAAGATCTCCCCCACAAAAGTCGCTTCAGATCTTCCAAGAGTCCAGGGGAAATACTTGAATCAACCCCTTCGGACGTTGAAGCCATTCTTCAAAATTAAACCGGAAAAACGTCGATGTTTAATACTGATCTTAAAATCCCGCGGCCATTTTGAAGCTTTTAATCTCGCGTTAATCTAGAACGAGACCCGAACGTGATTTGAGATTTTCCTCATTTAGTTAACTGATTGCATGGTTCGTATGTTTCGTGCCAATGTCTTTCACCATTACCCACGTATCTGATTAAACCATAAGTCAGAAAAACATTTCTTCCTCCTAGAATACTGTTTTCGACCTTTGGTCATGTGACATTTGAACGAGACTAACCTTGACCCAGTTTACATGGAGAACACATGGAAATAAATAAAACTCAAAGAAGTCTGTAGCGCGGACATACAGAGAGAAAAATGAGCAAAAAGACGTCATTATCACGAGGAAATAATGCTGTATGTATGCACTCTATCGTTGGGAAAATACACAGGGATCTAAAATGTGATATTTATGCTGTAAATTAATATAATCACCTTTCAGTGTTTTGGCACCACAGATAGTGACTTTAGAGTAGCATACTTGTCTGTTATAACCCAAAAAATGTTAAGTGGCCAAAAATGGTTAAGAATGTTTTAACGAATTTAATAAAATCGGCACATTACACAACTGTTTAAACTACTACAGTAGTAGGAAAACTAGGAAAATAATTGATAAAAATCCAAATAAAGAGGAAGCAGACATCAAATCACCTTCAAACTTGATACACATCCATTTCATTTCCCAGGATATATCCTCCCATTCTCCTTTTATAAATCTGACACATACATGGAAATCCCAAAATCAGGACTAATAGGCCTCTGTCTAATGCAAACGCCTCAAAAACACTGGGAGTGCCATTCCAAAAATCCTCAAAAGTCAGACGTGACATACCTGCCCAATGGCATTCATAAAACCTCTTTCGTTCCAACTACAAGCCTACATTAATATGCTCAATACATATACATGGAGAAAAAGCATTTCCAGTAAACTATTTTATATTTATATATGAAATGGTAGTGTTTGTCTATGCGAAAAATTTGATTTGAAGACAGAACAATAATCTCCTAGGTTCAGGGAACAAATGACAGTAGCATAGTCAGCAAGTGCTCCATGGCAGGTAGAGGTTACTTCCAGGATCCATACCTGCAGCATTTTGTGGCCAAAACCAGGAGGAGGGCACCTCTTATAAACAGGTATGCTATATCTTAAAAGCAGGGCAATGTGTGTGTGTGTGTGTGTGGGGGGGGGGGGGGTATGTCACCCTGAAGGCAGGGCTGCAGGAAGAGGGTCAGTCACTGAGTGATTAGAAAAAATGGACGGAGGGTTGATAGGAAACTACATGAAGTATAAGCCTTTTCTTATCTCTCAGTATGTCAGAAGTCAGTTACTTTTGTCTCAGTCAGATGCAGAAGAGCAGATAGTGTAAGCCTTCAGCAGCTGCCCCCTTCTCCCCCTGCTTCACCAGATTTTTGCTCAACCTATGGCAATGGCGAATGATAAAAAATTAATTGGATAAAGATTGCTAGATTTGATCAATAACTACAATATGCTGATGTTATATGTACAATTATAATGATGTTTCACTGTCTTGTTTACCTGCCAGTGATTGTAAAAAACTGTTTTAACGAATGAAGAAATGGGCTGTAGAAATGTGCATTTAAGTTCAATGAATGATACATTGACATTTATAAAAAAATTCACTTTCAACATCTTTCCAGAGGATACTATGTAAGAGCAAAGGCAGTTGATCACATGCTGAGATGTTTTATCACTCATACTGGGGCTAATTCTCAGGTGATCTCCTTGGGCGCTGGCTTTGATTCTGCATACTTCAGACTCAAGGCAGAGGGTTTACTACAGGATACGCTGTGGTTTGAAGTAAGTGGTATCTAATCCTAGGAAAATATGCTTTCATAAATATGTGTTTTGAGAAATAAAGAGAGAGAGAGAGAGTGGTAGATAGAGAGGGGGTGGTGGGTGGGGAGAGAGGGAGAAATTTCAATATGAATGTAAGTTGATAAAAAATTTCGAGTTTAATTAACAAATATACAGAGAGAGAGAGAGAAAGAAGTTATATGGGAGAAATAAATTATAGTATTTTTAAGGAGCAAACATGCAAATTATTACATTGACATTGACCGAACTCCTTACTTTTTTGCTGCAGGTGGATTTTTTGGAAACCATGAAGAGAAAAGCAGCTTTGATCAACAATAGTCAGGTTTTGCTTGATGTGTTACAATTAGGTCAAAGTCAGATGGGTTCAGAAGGTCAGGGTCATAAACAAACAGAAAATATGGAGGCTAATATAGGTAATTAACATGAAAATAATGTTTGTCTTTACTACCTAGTTCTTATTATCTTAGGAAATGTCACTGAGAGGATTGATTTAATTTGTCAATCAATTAAGACATGTTAATGGATTGAACTCATGCTGAAGTAATTAAACGTAATGCAGGTTCTTTTATTTTTTAGAATATTTTTGTATGGGATTAATCTGAATTTTATACATGACTGTGTGAGATTTTCCATTGGATGATAGCTATGCATGTTCTTATAGGATTTTGACAGTATACACAGATTGGTAATAATTCATGGTATTTAGACACACTTCAGGGGCCTGAGTTACAATAGATATCAGAAGATCAAGATAGATTTGAAGTCTCTGGCATTAGACATATTAATATATCAGAGACAAACTGGAATAAGTAGAAATTTGCACTGTTATTGTTGACGTTTTTCAGTGCTGGACTGTTCAGATTTCAAGATGGTTGGGGTCGACCTGAGAGACACTGGTCATCTGGAGAGGTGCCTGAAGATGACTGGAGTGGACCTCACACTGCCCACATTACTTCTCAGTGAATGTGTTATGACTTATATAGAACCCAAAAGGTAATGTATTACTAAGGGGTCCATTATTATGATCATTTTCTTAACCTTACAAACTGTCATGAAATGGATAACACATAAGGGCTAACTCTACGACAATATTTCTTTTAGCCAAGTTGTAAAAAATAAAAAATTCAAGCTAAGTTATCAGCCATAAATCAGTCAAAATATTGTACATTTTCTGTTGCCATATTGATTTGTTTTCTCGTCTTAATGTCAACTATTTATGGTCATGTTTCTAATCAGGAAAAAAACTGGGAAATTCTTTTTATATCCATTAAAAAATTAGCCAATAGGTCAATGCATTCTAAAAGTCAAAACAGCATTCTCCAAGTATTGGAAAGTAATAGACTTTATATTCCAAAGAAATAACGTATCAAATTTAAATTTGTACATTTTTGCAACATAAAAACAATTTCCCTTGGCATTTCAGTTCTTCTGCCATCATTCAGTGGGCTGCAAATACATTCACAAATGCAGTTTTTGTTACTTATGAACAGGTAAGATGAAAGGGTCAGATTACTTATGAGTTTACCTGTAATTCTGAAAATGTTATTTAATCCATTTAGATTTAATATTTTATTTAATGTGAGTAACAAGTCATGTGTTTAGTGTAAGGTCTGTTGAGCACAATTAAAAGTCTGAGAAAATAAATGGATGTGTGACCTAGGCCAACGGTTTTCCAGATTGGTCAAAAAATATTTCTGTTACAGACCCAAGGAAAACTTATATGCCCGAAGTTAAGTATATGTAAATACTATTTTTAAAAAAGTCTAAGAAATAAATTGTTCAACTCTCCAGATCCTGCCTAATGATCCATTTGGAATGGTCATGTAAGTATGTCTGGCTAGGTGTCCTGGGAAGATTAATTTATAAAGTTATAGGGTACAACTGCAAAAAATGATGAAGCAGCCTTTGTATGGAGAATTTCAACTTTTCCTAGAAAATGAATATTTGTATTTAGAAGTTTCTCTCTCTTGCTCTCGCTCATTCTCTCTCTCAGCGTGTATGCATTCACCTACCTATTAATTTACTAGGTATCCATGTCTAAAAATATTAAACTTGAGAATATATCAAAAGCCTAAGGCACCATTTTTTAGAGATCTATTGCCTATAAGGCATTTTTCCTCTCAGGCTGAATCACTTCCAAACCATTGGTTCTCCTCTCAGAGGCATCCATACTTACCCTGATGCTGACTCACAGGAGAAGAGGTACAGAGAACTGGTAGGTTCTGAATTTGTTTTGTCATAATTTGTAATATCAGATTATCTAGTGCTTACACTGCTAACACTTTGTCACACCAAGCACAATGAAACACCTAGCACAATGTCACATCTAATACTCTGTCACACCTAACACAATGTCACATCTAATACTCTGTCACACCTAACACAGTGGCATATGTAATATTCTGTCACACTTAATACTGTATCCATTACACATTTATTTCTATTAAAATAGTTGAAATGAGCTTCATGAAATGTTATTCAAGTAAATGTTTAATTTTTGGATGTTGAAGGTTAATTAACCATTATAGTCCACAACCTTTTGCCAAGGCCTACAAGAATTTCAAGAATTTAATTTTTTAACAGTTTATGTTGCCCAGTGTCAGAAATTCATCTGAATTTTCGTAAACTGTTTCAGGGATGGTCAAGTGTCCACTCCATGAATATGAACCATTTTTACACCAATATTTTGGACTTAGAAGAGAGGCGGAGGGTAGACACTCTGGAACCATTTGATGAGTATGAGGAGTGGCATCTGAAGTGCTGCCATTACCTTGTACTTTGTGCCTATAGAGGGAGCTGTAGTGCACTGAGCCAAGACATGATGGGTAAGATACCAGGTTATTGTTATTGTTTAAATGTGCCAATTTATGCCTGTCATTTAGTAAGTTTGTAAATGAAATTAATTGGAAATGACATTACATGGATAACAGGTAAAAATTTTGGAATGTTATTGATTTTGAGCTTTACTAGGTGTGGAATAATGCAAAGATCTGTCTTCCATTCAGTGGGTTTATTAGTTTGACTTCTGTAATGGAAAAATATGCTTTTATGTCTTAGAATGTCATCAGCAGGCAAAGATAGTTTGTTCATTCTAAATTTTTTTATTCATTTGGTTTTTGAAGGTGGTATTATATAGAAGCTTTGATTGGAGTTGATATTTTTCTAAATAAAAAAGGACTATAATTGAAACTAAAGATAAGGCATACCTTTTTATATTGTCAGGCAAGAAGGTAGTGGCTCAACCACACGCCAGCAGCGACAGCCTCCCATTTGACACTTTTAGCCCATCTTTCTCAGTGAAACGATATGGACATGTGTCACTGACTTCTGCAAAGCATTTGATCATGTTTGGTGGGTTTGGGGAAGAAGCTGGTCAGCACAGAAGGTTAGATGGCATATATCTCTTTGACTTGGAGCAACAGGGTGTGCCAATCAGAATAAACATTTCTGGCAGTCACACAATAGGTAAAGTTTCAAGTGTTTGGCCACAAGTTTCCAAGATTTGGATGCCATATAAGACTTTTCTAAAACACAAGATAGGGGGTAATATATGCAGTAGATTTTGCTGTTACAAGTGTGTGTGTGAGTACGTGTGTTTTCATGTGTGATTGCCATGAGTGAAACCTTTATTTCGGTAAGATGCATTTCATATTACCAGCCAAATTGGGCGGAGCCACCTCAGTTCATTCCATATCAGAAAGCCAACTGATTTTGATTAGTAACCATGCAGCCTGCTAATGAGGTTTGTACATAATTAAGATGACCCATTTAACCTTAAAACAATTTTTCTTCTAGGAAAGCGAATGTATCATACTGCCACTCTCCTTTCTGACCAAAGAATATTTGTATATGGAGGCAGATCTTCCCCAGCGCAGCCCTGCCAAAGTGCATTCATATTGAAAATTCTCCATTTTGTTAATGGAGACAAAGTGCAGGACCCATCCAAACATCAACATGGAAGTTTGTCTTCTGTAGTGAACAAGATGGAATCAGAGTCTCGGGGACAGGAAATTAGAGTTGAAGGTGAAAGCAGTGCAATATGTTATACAGAAAATGGATCTGACTCATGCTCAGGGACAGATTGTGGCATTATGACAGCGACAGATAATGAGTCAAAAGGTTATCGAGGCAGGTCTGGCAATCTACAAGAGTGCAATGATGGGATATGTTCATTGACTGAACCGAACATGTCTAAAAGCAAGGAAAGGTGCAATCAGAGTATCTGTGATAATGTTGACTCCTCAATCAACACATGTGATGTGATAGCGGAGAGCTCTGTGGAGGAAGTGCACTTCAAGGGGACCATCATGCCTTGTCCAAGATGGCGGCACTCTGCAACTTTTGTTGTGATAGGAGTAAAGGATTATATTGCAGTATTTGGGGGAAGAAGCAGCACAGAGCCATTTGTGCTTGGGGATTGTTTCTTGCTCAGCATCTCAGCCATGACGTGGACAAAGGTGAATGTATGCAAGTGATCATCGTTTATTTTTGGGTTATTTTGCAGTATCATAAAACTGAAAACTATATACTTTGTACAGAGTAAATAATCCACAGAAATACTGAAATAAAAATAGTATTGCCCCTACTGTGTATATAAATTATAGTGAGAATATTTTAAACTCTTCTTCAGGTGGAAGCAAGTGGGCCAAGTCCCTCCCCTCGCCACTCTCACTCCAGTTCTGAGTGGAGTCATCCCACAGGAACAGGAAGTCCTAAGCTGGTCCTGGCCTGTGGTCTGGGAGAGGACATGACACCGTATGGAGATGTGCATATACTTGACCTAGATATGATGGCGTGGGAGGAGCTTGAAACCCAAGGCACCCTTCAACCAAGGTACCAGACTGCAGAGTTGGCTTATATTCTGTTTCTTTAAAAAAAAACTTGAAAAATGTGAACATATACAAGAAATCTTGTCATATTCACACTTGAAGTTGCTTATTAGAAGTTGAAAACTTCACACCCTTTTCTCTTATCAAGGGTAATAATTAAATAATAACTCTGCTAAGAGTTGAAGATTAAGTTCCCCATATACTTAGATGGCTGGCACGTCTAGCAAAGCTGCTAAGCAATAGTTAATTACCCCCTAACAGCTTCAATAGGCTTGTCAGACATCGGAGCAGCTTAAGCTGAATGTCATTTAGCGAGAAACCCCTCGGAGATGGGTCAATCCTGCTGGATTGATCTTAGGCATGGGAATGGGGTCTAAGATCATAGTATAGAAAACAAAAGTGGCTGTAGAGCCAAGGGTAATTCAGGTTTGTAATTGTTATGTTTACATACAATAGTTTTACAGTAGAAAAAATAAAGAAGAGTGACTTCATTGCAGCATTGTTAATGTTTTGATTCCAGATATTCTCACACATCTCATGTGTTGGACAACAGACTGGTACTGGTGGGTGGAGTAGGACTCCAGGAAAATCCTGGAATTACTGTGGTTAACTTAACCTCGGGGCTTGTCCAGGAATTCACTATCCCTGTGAGTGTATTTACTATTTACTTCATGGTAAATTGCATCATTCTGAGATGTAATAAAAGTTATTGCAGTAGATTTGGATATGTAAACAGTTTCCAGGAAAATATGTTAAGAAGAGCAATTAATGCACACCTAATTTTCCATTGAAATATATAACAAGCCCCAAGTATTGTTCAGGAATTAACTGTATACTAGAAAGAAATTGATAGGAATTTGTTTACATCCAGTTGAATATGGTAACAGTGGTCAGATGGGGATAGGTACATGCAAGATTTTAGAAAATAATGAAATTTTTGTTTTAACTAAATCTTTGATATACTGCAGAAAAATCATTTATCAAACTTAAAGGTAGAAAAATAAGGCATTATACATATGCCCTAACTTGCAGCATTTTGAAAGTATTTTGTTCTTTTTTCAATGATAATAATAATTATAATAATAAACAATAATAATGAAATTAAGGATAATGATAATAATAACTGTCTTTGTCTTTGTCCCCAGCATTTTGAATATATTTTGTTTATAATAATAATAATAATAATAATAATAATAATAATAATAATAATAATAATAATAAATATTTTTTATCCCCAGGTGTGCAGTCCCCAGGGTTCCCCAGTCCTGCTGTACAACCACACCTCCCATGTTCTACAGGACGGAAACATGGTGGTCCTTGGTGGAGGAGGCAACTGTTTTTCCTTCGGAACACATCTAAATGATGAACCATTGGCCTTCACCTTACCCTAACCTTCACCTCGGATGCTGCAAATAATTGTCTAAGTCGCAACAATAAAAAAGAAAGATTTTTCATCATAAGAGAATTTGTACCTTCCACTGACTATTTATATGACCCTGCCAGGCATCTTGCTATATACCTCATGCAATGAGAGCCATGTAGGAAATTAATCAAAAGCAGATTAAATTGGATCTATAGCCTGTATAAGAGTTTCAGAAACGAGCTTACATAACTACTGTACTCGGGGGAGCAGAGGTCTACAGGACATACTTGTTCTAAGATATTCATTGTAACAAGCTGGGGACATATGTACATGTTAGACAGTGTCATTTGTGAGCAAATAGCTGCTAAACGTGAAGTTATGAATAAGACATTATAGTATGTAGCATATCACTGGAATTTGGTTCATTCTGTCATTAACACATGTCGTTATAAACAATTCAACAGAGCTCGCTCACCTTATCCTGCTTGCTCACTTGTCTCTCTCTCTCTCTCTCTCTCTCTCTCGTAGATCAGAGATCAGCATTTAGTGAAACTAAGCCCATTCGTCTTTTCATTCCATATTGTCATATTGGGTTATAGGAATGTGTCGTCAAATTTTGTGTACACACGCGTAGACTCTGTCCTATTTAATCTGCGTATGAAGAGACTGAATGTTTTGGTCTTAATGCTAAGATGACTACTTGACTTTAAGTGGAGGGGGCACCTTACCTTGGAAGTATTTAGACGAAACTGCTGTAACCACGTTCAAATGATTATACAATGTAAACTTTATGTAGATTTGTATGTAAACCCCTGCCCCGCAATTCCACAGGTCGCGTAGTAAATAATAGACTCGTTTTTGAGGTACAAATGTCATTTTTTAAAAAATAATATAATAATAATAATCTTTATTGGAAAGTCGAAGCCCGAAGGTTGAAGTTATACAATTATGTTATTTATTTATTTATTTAAATGAATTTTTTTATTCAAGTCAGAGAATCCTGTTCTTTTTTGCATTGGTGCACTCTGCTGTAGACGGTCTCTCCTTCCTGGGGAGGATACAGCTCGGTTGCCATATTAGGCGCTCAGAGCTAATATATCATTTCTGCACTGCCTGACCAGGCCCCTGCTTCAACCCCTTAGTGCTGAGTGCCAAGCGGGGAGACAGCAGGTACTGTTTATAAAGGACTGGTATGTCCCCGGATGGGTTTTGAACCCACGTCCTCCCGCTCCGGAGGCGGACACTCTAACCACAAGGCCATCCGGTCGTCCCTTCAGTTATATTACGACCAAATCACAGCACATGTTGTTGTTTTCGGCTAATTAAAAGGTATGCGGGTGCCACTGATTTCAAGAAAAATACATGAATTATTTCAATTGCTGACGAAAGAGGTCTAAGCCAGTAAAGAGTTTCAGATACGGCCTTTGAAAGTTAGTTGTATACTGGAATGAAATACTCGTCCACGTGGAGAGCAAGACCTAGATGTACAGGGCATCAGTTGTTTGAAAACTAATCAGTTGAGGTTCATTAAACATGCGGGGCTCGTTTTACAGGTATTCTAAAATATCTGGTCATGAATAACATATGAAGTTCTGACGTATAGCGTACCACTCGTCTTCTACCCTCTAGCAGATTGGTTAAAAACACGTATGAACAGGAGTAAAAGGAAAAAGGGGCCTGTTTCTCTGGATAAATCACTTCCGAAAACCGGAAAGATACAATTAACCATAACATTCTTTGGAAAGACTTGAAAAGTGACAATTGTAGTAAACTCGGGATACTTAGAATAAACGTACGCCCCCGAAAAAATCTCTCAATGAAAGCCTTGCAATCTGAAATAAAAACTCTTGCGACAATCTGACCTGTGATCATGACCTGGGAATTGAAATGGGTCGATATACATCACTAAAAACCCCTAAGGAAATCGTAAGTGTCCCCACTGCTCTGGAATTGAAAGTGAAAGTCCTTTATAACTGAAATGTAAAGAGCATAGCGACAGAAGGAGATTAATGATACTACATCTGCGGAGAACGGACCCTGATAAACTTAACTGACTGCTTAGTCCAATTAGCGACTCATGCTTACAACCTATACACATACATATGACTGAAAGCACTGAGAAAAGAAATACCCATCACTAGCAATGGTGGTATTATCCTCTTTTTCTCACTCCTAATGGCTATTTTGTTAACTTTAATTTGCTTTTTGGATAACCATATAGGCCTATGTAGAGTAGAGAGCCTGTAAAATGTTTTTGTAGACATTTTAGTGCTCAATAAAGCATTATTATTTATTGGTCACTATAGTGGTCAACAGTATGTCGTGGTCAGTGAAGCTTTTGTCTTTCACGTGTGTGTGTGTGTGTGTGTGTGTGTGTGTGTGTGTGTGTTCGTATAAGCTTGCGCCTGTATGTACTAGTACGTGTGTGGATAATCGAGTGCCTGTCTACTTTCGAAAATGAACCAGAGAGAAGAGTTTTTAGACTGCGCTCTTATTCTATCATTATTTATCATATGATGGCCAGTAGGTGTGTTGTTCTATTATGTAACATCACAGATGGGATTACCATCGAACGGAATGAACCATGTTTTTGATGAATTATAAATAAAGACACGAAAAATGTAAAATTATATAAATAGTGGTTAATTCTGCTTCAGTGCAAAATAATCAGATCCAGATCAACGAGATGGGACTCTACGCAGAGAAATGCAGGAAAATGGTTCTAATGGCAACAGAATCTATCAAAAGAAAGTCTAATTGCTTTGTCCCATCATTAATTGGCCCCATTCAGAATAGATGATCCAAGTACTAACTGATCCGCCGACTAAATATGGCCGAACCCACACTTCAAAAACGCTGTCGTTAATGCCATGATGGTCTCCCCGCCTCCACACGCGCCGTCGCTGCAGGGGCCCAACAAAAAAACTAAACCCCGAAGCCTAGATTGAATCCGGTTAATCGCGCGTGTAGAGGAGGGGAGACCATCGGGAATCAGCTGCTTCGTTTTTGAACAGTTAAATCGGCCATACTTAGTCGGCGGATCAGTTAGTACTCGGATCATCCATTCTGAATGACACCAATGTTCTGTTCATTTGATACATGTAACTGTCAGTGATTCCAGTCGATTTCCTGTTGGGCTGAAATCGAGTTTATGAAAAGTTACATGCTAAAATTTTTATTAATTGCATATAAAAAAGTAAATTCGATGGAGCAAAGTTTATCAAGCTATTAAATGTGAGCGAAATTTTCTAAAGAGACTACTAACGCAAAAACTGTGTTGTTATTTGGCAAGAGAGAAAAATGTCAAATTCACACAAGGTTTTGGTCCATTGGTTAATTACACAACCAAAAAGTGATTTTCCATGACGCAAACTGGACTTAAAATTTTTCTTATACACTGCAACAGAAAGATGTTTTTAAATAAAGATATATATGTGTTAAGGACGTAATAAAAGTGTTACTTTTTTTTTGTCAATCAGACAGTCAATCAAATATTCAATATTTCCATATTAGGCAAATTCTGCAAAAGTATTTTATTAACGAAGTAAAATGGGTTTAATTTACGATTACCCAAACGATGGTGGAAATAAAATCAGTAAACTGGCGTTTCGTGAGGAGAGATAGAAAATAAATACGTAGTACTTGGTATTCATATGAAAGAATAAGCAACCAACTCGTCGCAGTCCCAGTGACCCCATTCCCATTGACACCATCGGTCTACGAAGATCGAGCCAACTCCGCGGAGACTCTTTCTGAGTTCAATCAGCTTAAATGAATAGCACACCTCCTCTCGTACAATCACCGGCTTTTCTGTATTCGCCTTAACGCCAGGAGGAGACATGTCAATCTCTCAAACTGATTGCATTCAACTAGAGTTCCCGCGGAGTTGGATCGATCTGCGTAGACCGATGGTGCCAATAGGAGTGTGGCTTTTAACACAGCCACTTGAGGCTAGGCATTATACGTGCTTCTATTAACATCTGGTCAGTAATGCTCGGGTTGCATGGCAAAGCATGGAGCATATAGAAATAAACTATGAAGCATGAGTCCACATCGCTTAAAAGATGTATTTAAACGAGCGTTGTGTGTATTTGACCTGAGACAAGCGAACCATTCCTGTTCTGCGGGATTTGATAACCTTAGAGCGCATTCTCAACGAATTAAGCCAGGCTTTACAAAGCCGGTGACCTAAAAATGGCGGACGTACATGAAAGAAAAACCGCCTAATCTTTTAATAGTCTCTCCGCCTCCCCACACGTCGTCCCTGCGGGGTACAGTAATTAAATCTCGGCTCCGTTCGTCATGCGGAAGCTACCTGAGAAATATTAAGTGCGCATGCTCATCAGTTAAACTCGTGGTGAAGAAGGCATGGCGGCTGAAGGCGATCGAAGGAAAAAAGCTCTTCTGTTCTATTATCTTTGAAAACAGAGACGAAAAAGGAATAATTTGGCCCGTAGAGCAGCAATGAATCGACTATCTAAGGAGATAATATCACCAGAGATATTCACGGAAATATTAATGTTCGGAGCCGAGATTTAATTACTGTACCCCGCAGGGACGACGTGTGGGGAGGCGTGTGAGAGGCGGAGAGACTATTAAAAGATTAGGCGGTTTTTCTTTCATGTACGTCCGCCATTTTTAGGTCACCGGCTTTGTAAAGCCTGGCTTAATTCGTTGAGAATGCGCTCTTAGAGTTTCAAAGTTTGATGCCAACATTATATTTCATACCAGTTGTTGAGGTTGTCTAGAGATCAGAGGTGAGACTCAGCCTTGTGGTTATCCTTCTCTATCTCTCGTATAATAAATACAGATTCCCAGTGACACACACACCATTTGTCTCTCATTATAATAGGACTTTCTTAGTCGCGTAGCAAAATTAAAAACAAATGCGTCACGTGTCCACGATTTGTTGAATAACAGAGCAAAAAGCAACAAAAAATGAAGCTTTGCGTACGAGAAAGTTTGTGTTCAAATGTAGACAAAGCATTTTGTCGTTAAGTAATTGCAAGTAGGTTGCAAGTGTGCCAATCGTTATTTATTTATTATCAACTTTATTTACTACTGTCCTACCAAACCTTTTAGAAAGTACCAAAATTATTTACACATTTTGAGTCTTTTTCAAACAAAATGCAGCCAGAATGATCATCTTTGCTCGTGTTTCATGTGATCATAGCAGTCGTTGTCAAAGTACATACTACCGGTAGTTTATCTCAGTAATGAACAATACAAATTATTGATGGGTCCACACAAAGACATCTGTAGCTTTGAAAATTATGAATGTTTTAATAGGATAATTGCAAAGTGCCATGATTGCCGTTTTACATGTTTAATAATAAGTTGCTTTTTATCGTGGTAATCGTCGAGGGTTATAAATGTGTGTTTTCGCCCTTCAAACATACACTCCGGCTTAAAGTGAAAAGGGAAGACAGACTACGGTAGGTGGTTCCAAGAGTTTTTTTTAAGAAGAGGGTTTGGCCTTTAAAATACGTCGAACTTATGTTTCGTCTGTTCTTTTTTTATTTCACCGAACTTCATGATTATTGCCTTCACGCGCCTATTTCCTTTTTATAGAAGGGAAGGGAAGTTATCGAGTTTATAGGGCAAATAGGAGTCATTTTTGGGCGTAGATAGTAAGAACAGTGGGGTCTGTACAAAACTTAGCGTCGAAATCTAAAGACAAGGACTGACGTTGCTCTGATCCGACACCAATTTTAGATAATTTTACCATAAAATCAGCTGAAGTTTATGTCATTTTTGACTATCATTTAATAACGATTAGTGTAAGAAATTTTAAGACACCTCTCAGTTGTGTCTAGATATGTGCCCTGCCTCCCACGCCCCATGTACGCTACTGGTAAATTTAGACAAAAGGAACACTATACTTCTGATATGTGTGTGTGTGTGTGTGTGTGTGTGTGTGTGTGTGCTTATCCAACCAAATGCCGGCATATAGTTTCAAATAGTATAGGCCTAACTAAGAGAATTATCAAAAGGCATTGCTTAGTATTACCCGAAAATGATATTTGAAGGGATTTTTCTGCTAGCTTCCTATATGTATTTACATGGGGCAGAAAAGTAGGTCACAGTAGTAGGTTAACTTTCTGACCAAAAATTTAAAGAAAGGGGCAGTCTAAAGCTCTTTTATGGCTGATCCAGTGATTTATTCAGTTTATCCCTTTATTTGAGTTGTACAAGGAACTAGTAGAAGTGGTTTATATGTGTTACTGAGAATCCACACCATACCGATGTTAGGTTAATATGTACCTTTAAAGTCGCTCGTAAGATTTGCGGACTTTTAATTTTAAGTCTTCTTGGATACAGCGCATTTCAGGCCTACCCAACTACCAGAAGCGGCACCTACGGATCCTGAATAAACCGGTATATCAGACCACACTACCCGTTTTCAAGGTGTGTGTCAGATCGCATTACGGAGTATCATACCCCATCACAAATTTTGTAGGCCTTCCTGTCATCCGGGTATCGCTTAGGATCATCGCTATCACATCGCGCGCCAGGCAAAATGGGTGAAGTGGCTGATACTCCGTAATGCGATCTGACACACACCTTGAAAACGGGTAGTGTGGTCTGATATTCCGGTTTATTCAGGATCCGTAGGTGCCGCGTCTGGTAGTTGGGTAGGCCTGGCATTTTCTCTTACTCCGTCTGATAGATATGCTGCCGTCTTCTCAGGTGGTATTTGGTTGAATTCATACTGTTATTTGGAATATGTTACTTGCTAATTACAAATATGCATTGACATTTTTTTCTCATTTACTTACTTATTTTGAAAATACCTATATTAGTTGAATATCATTACCAAACCAATGTCCAACGCATTTTTCCATTTAGAAAAAAAGGTGCAAAAATCTTTTTTTTTTTTTTCAAAATTGAGGGTCATTTTTTCTAAGGATGTGTTTGCATTAGAATTATAAATAATAATTCTTATGATAATTCAGATTAAAGCCGACAGTGAAGTTCCTGACTAACCGTTATCTCCACCATGAGAAGACTCTTGTTGCTGATGGGACTAGCTTTTATGGCGGCAACCGTGGACGGCGGGTTGCTTAAAGCATCAAAAGGTGCGGTATATAAAGACAATGGTTGTTTATAAACTATGCAAAAAAGCATCCCTGTCCTGTTTATATTAGTAATAAAGCCGTACAAATGCCACAGGTTTCACAAAACCGTTGCCTAGCTCTAACGACAAGAAATGTTTTATTGCAACTCCCTTAGCACTTCAGCGTCATTTATGTTCACCCGTCATCATGTTGATCGCACAATGCAAGGGGATGATGCAAAAAAAACAAAAAAAAAAAAAAAAAACAAAAAAAAAGAAAAAAAAGCAGGATGCACTGTGAGGTTATTTTTTTTCAGGAACGTTGAGATTTAGCAAGAGCACCTTTCTGAGTTGTATGGCGAAAAAAATGCCCCGTGGAGTGAGCCGTGCAAGCATCGTCGAGTGCAACAATCAATATCCTCAGCCGCAACTGTTCCGGTTGTTCAAATGGAGAAAGTGTTTAAGGGAGGAAACAGGAATCAAAGTGGGAGTTGTCAAACTTTTGCTCTCACTGATCAGGTGCATCGGACAAGGTGAGAGAGAGAGAGAGCTTAGAATCTGATCAAATAAGTGGTAGAGATGAAACCAACTCTTAATTATTATTATTATTATGATGATGATGATGATGATGATAATGATGATTTTGCATTTGGTTAATTAGTTAACAACCTAACTCAAAACGTTATAGACGGATTTTGATAAAATGTTCAGGATGGGTCAGAAAGTGACAAGCTTAGAATCGATTAGATTTTGAAGTGTTCCATCAATCAATGAATGATTTTTTTGTAAAAACTAAGCTGCCGTGGGCTGCGCTCTTTAAGTGCTTTTCTCGGTATTGTCATTATCAATGTACTAGAGATCCACCGAGAGTATGGTATCATTACACGTTAATCATGGTCACTACACATACAGTATGTACAACAACCCATATTATGCCGTACTCATGATACTGCTGGTACAACCAAACCAGACAGAAGAGACGGAAAGACAGACGTGCCAACAGCTTGGTAGAGACTGATACCAAACGGTTGGGCGATTTTAATAAATTTTAAATTCCTTCTGTTACTTGAAGTCTTCTATGGTTTCAGCCACGACGGTTGTCTATGGCGACCCATACGAGGAGACGCTAGATAAGGAATACGCGGTGTCCGTGAGTTCGTCGTGCAAATACACTCTCAGTAAGTGCTCGGAGTCCAGTGACACTACGTACGAGATTCAGCTTAAAGACAGCTCCGCTTCTCACCCTGGTGGGAAGACAGTGATACAAGAAGTTACCGTGGTAACGCGCGCCGGAACTGTCACCTGCAACGTAGACGGAACCACCCGAATCGTGAGTAAATGAGAGAGAGAGAGAGAGAGAGAGAGAGAGAGAGAGAGAGAATAATGTAATGACTTGGGGAGAAGGCGAACACGTTTCAAATAAATTTTTCAATTCAATTATCTTAATATTTACTTATTTTCTATGTATTTGAAAGCTGGTTTTTAATTATTGAAAATACCATGGCTAGTAACCTTGATTATGTGTCAGACGCGTGAGTGTAGGCCTACTCATTATATTCTGAACATTATGCACAAGAATGCAATGGGACCTAAGACCTTCAAAGATTTGAAATTGTAGGTTGTCGTTGTAAATGTTTCTAAATATGGGACACAATGTAATACAAGTACTTGTGCATGTAGTTGTAACCTGCCGGTTCACCCAAACTCCAACAGACCCCTCTGTCCGTTGTGTCGGTATATATTAAGAAAAGGAACGGCACATTCAACAGTGTAAACTCTAAGCGAAAACTGCGAAAGGACAGTTCCAAATGCCAATTATTATTGATGGTCATTGGTGAAATGTCCAATATCTTAAGACCGTAATTTTCTTCTGTGTTTATTTATTTATTCATCACACACATCTATACCGTGTCTATAAACATACATGTTCATGTGTTTAAACAGGGTAACGACAACCACGGCACACACAACGTGACTGCCGAGCAAAGCGGATTCGTTGAAGTTCATCACATCACTGAAGATGGAATGTCTCGGCTGCTTATGACTTTTCAAAACATCCCGAACCTGGTGGTAATAATGAACACCAACCCTGGCGAAAATGCACATAAGCTGTTCCTCACCATTCCACAAGGCTGCGAGTAAGTAATACACAAGTTTATACGTGTACTCAGTCTCAGTCTTATCATTTTTATTGTCCCTCCTCCTCATCTGGTCCCTCAACACTACTCCCGGCCCCTCCCCTCTTTATTTCATGATCCCTCCCCCTCTCCCTTCCTCCCCATCTGCCCCCCTTCCCCTTCTTCCTCATATGACCCCTCCCCCTCCTCCCGGCCCTGCACCTTTCCTCTATATATGACCCCTCCCCCTTTTCCCGGCCCTGCACCTCTCCTCTATATATGACCCCTCCCCCTTTTCCCGGTCCTGCACCTCTCCTCTATATATGACCCCTCCCCCTTTTCCCGGCCCTGCATCCCTCCTCTTTATATCACCCCTCCCCCTTTTCCGGTCCTCCTCTCCGTCTGCTCGCTTCAACCCTCCTCCCTCTTCACCCATCCTATCCACGCTTCTCTTCCTCCTATTCCTCCAATCCTTTGCCTCTTAACTACTGCTGTTTACACCAAGTTCATCTATTATTTTTTTCAATTTAAATTTATTCAGTGTGGCGGCCCAAGGGGTGCTAGGGGCCGTGTTCCACCAGTCCACCGTTCACCGTACCGGTTGTGATGGCTCAGTATTCGACTCCAATGAGCCAGGATGGGTGGCGAATTTAGTGAACAGTTGCTGCGTGTAAGAGAACCGGGTACGTTGACCTTTTTTATTTGTAGCCTACATTTACATTGTACATTTAATAGCTTGAACCTATAGGGAGGGTAAAGAACGTTACTCATCTCAAAGTTCAGTAACTTAAGCAGTTTTCAAGATATTCCGACGGAATTTTGACCACTGTTGGAAAATGTTGTTTTTTTTTTAAGTAAATGCTAAAAAATACCATGACTTTACCTTAATAAATGAAAAATTTAAGTAAAAACGCCTTTTTGACGAGTGTCATTTTATTTGTCATGAAATTTTTCAACATGTGTCTTTTATTTGATCATAATATCAAAACTTTTGCACTTAAACACTTTGAATTATCAGGGTTGACTACGAATAATGTATCAAAAAGGTGTGTATAATTTCAATCCAAATATTTGTGAACTGTTGGAGTTAGTGAACTATAAAACTATTAGAAAAATAATTACAGCTCAACAAGAAACTAATGGTTAATACTGTATAATAAAGTAAATTATTCCTAACCACATACAAAATGACATAAAATCTTTAAACAATCTTAGTACACTGGAAAATATAAGCTAACGCGACAGTTTTGAATGATAATTTATTAAACACCTAATGATATCCAAACAAATAAGCTATCGAAAAGAGGAGATAAGTAAAAACATCCGAATAAACATATAACTAAAAGCATGGAATGTAAAAAATGAAAAAGTTAATTACTTAAAATAGATACATAAATGATACTGCACAATAAATGATACTGCACAATAAAGGGTAGAACCAATGCCCTCCTAAATGTCATCATTCATTTGTGCAAGTTCCGTCTCTTTTAAAGATTCATATTAAGCGAGTACTCATGTCAAAATTTTGCCCCTAAACCCGACCAAATACCAATATAACGTATACAACGTACACTGTAAAAACAGTGTTTAGCTCTGAGACACATTTCTAAGCGCCTGTTTTGTCTCATTTTTTCCACGCGTTGAGCACCTAAGCACGTTTAGCCTATTAACATGTTACACGCTTTGACGTGCTTGACGCCTAATAAATGTAGGGTGTATTTGTTTAACTTTAAGATTGTAACGTTTTCATGATCAACTGTTTCAGTCACTCTCTCTCACACACACACACACACACACGCGCGCGCGCGCGCGCGAAGTCACGGTCACCTTTAACTGCTATAGCTATCTTTATCTATAAACAGGATATCGTGAACTGTCAACATAGTTGATCCACACCATCATCTTTACAGCAGGACTTATTCATTCTTGTGTTAGCTGACCTTGCGAGGAAGTTAATTGGAATATATTTCTGAAAAACAAGTTAGGAAAATTCACTAGTTTACTAAAGACACGAAACAACTATCACTTTTACTTTAAAACATTTTTTTCATATTTTGATAAAATGCGTTAAGGTATTGATGTTCATTTATTTTTTCCGGAAGTAATGAACAATAGAACATCAGGATGATGGTGGGGTGTTCATTATAATGGTTTATTTAAGCTTTCATTACATGCTGGTTATTTTGGTAACGATAGTCCGAATATTTTTCAAATCGCACCGCTCTAGTCGCCGACTAACCCAAGCCCATTTTGGAATTAACCGCTAACTGTAGTTCATACAGCATAAGACGTGTTTTGGTGATTAAAAAAAAAGTTTTCAAAACATTAAATAATGTTTTTAGCTTATAAAAATGCAAGGGCATCATTTTGCATGGAGTTAAAAACACCCGTAACGTTACCATGACGTTATTCTATACCATCACCATCATGTAACCAGCTAATAACGTCGTGAAAACGTTATTTGTTATTTTGATTATTACTTAATAGGCCTATTTTAAATAATCACACGTTACTGCAAGGAAGGACACAACGCCTTCGAGCAGGCTGCTTCTCGCCTCCAACCGCCCCATATGTTTACAAGGGGAAGTGTAAAGCAAAATTGTTGAGTCTTGTAATAAACTTGTTATGGGATCGTTTATATGGGATTGTGAAGCATTTTTTTCTGTGACGAGCTTGAAAAGCTAAACATGTTGTTTAGCAGCTCCACGCGTTAAGGAATTCCACACCTATAGCAGCTCCATATGTTTAGCAGCCTCACGCGCTTAGCAGGGGAAGTGCTTAGCCAATGTGCTTAGCTTGTGATAGACTTGTTATAGAATCATATGCCGGTGAGGCTAAACACATAGCTAAACGTGTAACAATACCAACGTGTCTAGCTTTTTCTTCTGTGAAACGTTTGAAAAGCTATACGCGTTTAGCATTTACACAGATTTCTAAATGCGTATAGGTGCCTAACGTGTGTTTTATGTATTTAAATGCTAAACACTGTTTTTACAGTGTATACAGTTTAAAATAGGATAACTATAAATAAATGCCACACAGGTTTGTTAATTTATTTCCCGGAAAATGGTATTTGCAAAGATTTTTCTGCTTTCCTTCTGGATAAATTTATGACTAGAAATGCGAAGTATGTACAGCTCCAAAACTTTTTTTATGCTACCCGAGAGATTAATTCCAAATTTATTGACACGTGGATGCTACTTGTGTCTTGTAAGAAACTGACACCAGTAATACATATAAGTTGCAGGGCATTTACTCTGTCTTCATATAAACCTTTCAGAGGCAGAGTTTTTCTGTAAAGGTCTTTTTTTCTGTTAAGGTATAACAAATTGTAAATTGCACAATGTCTTTTCTTTCAGATAGCTCTGGTATATATAATGTTGGGCCTATGGAATCGACCAAGCGTTGTCCAGTCGTGTCGCTCGTTTAAGCTTTGGCAGCGAGCTAATCAAATGTTCTGAAGACCATCACGTGATCATGAACTGGAATCGCTTTTACGGACTGGACGAGATGTTCAATTAATGGGGACTTCACATTCTTAAGGAAAGGCAATGAGATTTAGTATGTTATTTTATTTATTGATAATATGACGAGGACCTCAATTTCATTTCGACTTTGGTTGAACTGTCGACTTTTGGATGAACAATCTGACCCTAACTCTTGCATGTTGCTTGAAATGTTATTTCTCTTAGATAAATTTTGTATTTAGACACTCAGGGTAGTTCTGGTATTAGAAAGCACAGACTGTAGACTGAAAAATGGCAGAAAGTTTTTTTGTTCTTGCAAGTGCACAAGTCAAACCTGAGAATAAATGCACAGCTCTGATGGATGTGTCGCTATTTTGGTTGTTTTTTAAATGGGATTTCGATTAAGAATTTATTCTTTAATATTAATTTAAAAAATCGATTTATGCGTGCGTATGCATGCAATTTTTAGTATTACACCACGCATTCCAGGATAACCTTGTTCTGGAACTGCATGTGCATGATTTACGATTATGTCACGATATTCCAATATTTGATTATTCTTTCATCACACAACAAGTAATCTGTCCCTAAATGTACTTCACTGAAATAAAACAAGTACTAAACCAATCAATCAATCAAGGTATCGGCCCTTTTGATAAAAGAACTCCAGAAAGCACGGAGAGGTACCTTGTTTTCACTACAAATAGTGATCTAAAAGTTTCCTCACTTCGTATATCCCCACTTCTTAATTCACAACAGAATGTTCAACAGGTCGCCCTCATGAAATCAAATTAGTCGCTAGAATGATACACTGGCAACAGCTTGCCATGAAACAGAAGGTGATCATATATATTGAATTGAGGCAGAAATGACGATTAAACCAGTAAATGTAACTGAAATCAAAAACGTACCACCGCGTTGTATAATATATGAAGTTTATATCATTATATTGTTCAGGTTGTTTATTTGATTTGCAGCCTTCGCCAGTACACATTTATAGTGTTATTTAGTCCAAAAATTGTCATCTTAATGGTTGTAACATGTCTTCAGACAGGTCGCCTTACTGTCCTGTCTGCCATGATTTGCTATTTAACAGCTTTTTCACTGCCATGTATGTATGTATGTATGTTTGTATGTATGTATGTATGTAAGCCAATGCGCGCGCGCGAGTGTGTGCCAAATAAGTGTCACCCCTAACGCAATGCGTAAAGTGATACAGAGAATCACGTCATGAACCATGTTCTTTATTCAACTTTTAAAAGGGTATTTTCACAAAAATTTATTGATTGTACCACCAATAAATGAACTACTGTAGCCATATTAAAAAAACAAAGCCATATTGTAGTATTTTGTAAAGTATTCTCTGGATTGGCGGACGCGCCTGTCGAGTGTGTGCGTGGAGTCAAAAAGTACTGTTACGTTTTCGCAGTGATGGCGTTCCACAAACGGTGCAAAGATTATATGAGATCATTTTGTTTGCAGGCTTATCCCTCAGTTATCCATTTCTGAGGATATCCTACACATTCTTAATTTCTTACCAGCTGTTCTCTAAACCCTTACGCGTCCATAAATCCTAACAGCACTGAGCTTGCTTGCTTCTTTTTTATTCTTCGTCCGTCGTGAAATAAAGTCATTGTACGCGTTGTTTCTAGAATTCCTAACTCGCATTTCTTTTTTCAATGAGACAGGAATAAAGTTTTATTTACTGTGGTTTGTGAATTGATTTCATTTTCCGTGAACTTTGATCACTACCCCCCCCCCCCCCCATGGGACGCTTTATGTATTTATGTATGTATGTACTCAGTATCTTCTGAACACTGTGTCCGTCCGTGATGCCACTCTCAAAACGGTATGGACGATTTCAATAAACTTTTCAGAATTTGTCAGAAAGGAGATAACATAGAATCGATTACATTTTGCTGGTGAACAGTTAATCACTTTGTGAACAAGTTAATGGTGATAACTGCGCTTCCTTGACTGAGGTCACGCTTTTTAAATGCTTTTCTAGTTTTTACCTGATTGATTGCTGAAATGTAGGCCTATTCATGTACATGTGTATTCGCCATAGTTTGATGTGGAGAAATGAGTAGTATCTATAGGTCTTTGGTGTTACATTGCATGCTTTATTTCAGTTCTCAGGTTTGTTTTTTATTCCCCTTTGGTTGGCCTTTGTGATTTTTTAAAGTTCCACTAGTTATGAATTTTGGTCCACGTAATTTCAAGGTCAGATGTTTGTCCCCACATGACTTTCGTATCAACATACGCGGGACTCGAGCCACCGCAAACAACACCTGTTTATTCCAATTACGCCTTCTCACGGATGATAAAAATCTGCACTGCTATTTATTTGACAGATGATTATGTATGTATATTTACCATCTTAAATTGAAAATAAAAATAAATGCATAAATATAAAAACCTCAGTGAAAGACAGATATTTGCTTATACAAACTACTATTATTCTTAACTTTGCCATCGATCGTTATTGTACCCTGTATTACTGGTACTTTATTCTCTCCAGAGTGACTCCCGATTTCACCACACAGAATAATTATTGAACATAGCAAATAATTTTCAATCTAAAATTACCAAATCTAAAATTTCACTACGTGAGCAATTTGTAAAATTCCTCATTTTAGAACCCTAATTTGAAAACCCTATTTCACCCCTACAAACCAATTGAAGAAATTTATAACTTGCAAGGCATATGGTTATTTACTTCTATTTAAGGTCCATATCATGGCCACCGTGAGTTCGTCAACCTCTGCCTACTCCACCAATGTAGGAAATCAACATCGCCTGACTTAAAAGCTGTGTACATGTTATCGGTTTAAACTTAGGATAGTCTCGGGTCTCTTAGTGGTCGCAAAACTACCATCAATGGACGGCGCCACAAGAGGTCTTACTCTTACCTTTATATCTATAATAATCTCAGTCTATTTTAGTTGGCCTAAATGGAATGGTACTTAACTCGAATAGGTTTTTTTTCAACAACAACAACAACAATAATAATTCATTAAAAATACAGCCAAAATTGGTAAACAAAAAATATACTGTATTTTTACCTTAGTACGGAACATGATATATTTTAGACTGATATCTACATGTAGGCCTACTATATCTTCGTTGATTTTTACAGACAAGCTTATCTTTAATAAAAGTTAACTTAACTTTTCGGTATTGAGGTTAAGACCAACCATCGACTGAAGTTCTTTTGTAAACTAGGCCTAAGATAAAGGCCTGTATGATAGATGATAACTACTATGGAAAAGTCGCTGCTACCACGGTTTTTTCGTGTGTTTGCAAGAGAAAGCCTTTCTTAGCGCTGGTAGCACAGTCCAATGGTCGCTCCCGAACCCCCGATACATGAACTGTGATACCTACTTATTTCTTTTTTCTAGATTCGAGGTTCTATTAACTTTTTTCAACTTTTAGAATCTTAAAAGGAAAAGATCATGCTAACATACAGTAGATGTGTGTTAAAAATCACAAGAAAATACAATTAACAAAGTTAACTGGCTCAACGTTTAAGATTCACATACTCTCATGGACAAAAAAATAAATAGGCCTAATAATTATAAATTGCTCCAAGAAGCTTAAAAAAATTGGCGATTACTGACTCAGTATTTAATAAATGTGTTCCCTTCTATATGATCATTGTACAACAATAGCATCACCTTGACCAATCCTGTGAGTGAGCAGAGCGAATATGTACAAATCATGAACACTTGAAAAATGTCCCAATTTTTCTGTTCCTGGTCAGGGACGAGTCACAGATGGGGTGGACCTTGTCCACCCTTCAGTTTTAGCGTTCAGTGATATGGGACTCATAGCCCTGTCCAGTCTGTCACGCCACTGCAGTATATAGTGTCATGCAAGAACGGCATACATGCATTATTTACACTTCGAGTCGCCGGGGCCGCACGCTGCGTTGCTTGAGTCCATTAATCGCGCTGCCGTGCGACGCACTTTGCTTCTGGTCACCACAATTCGGATCGTACGGCTTGACCATTACTTAACACAGAACGGGCAACTGGACTGGATATTTTAAACCACCAAAAGAAAGTCGACCCGGGAAATACGTTTAAGCATTAAGGATAATTAAGTAACCACTGGTCAAGCCTGCCTGACGGAGTACTGCACGCAACGCTCTTAACCACTGCGTATGAGTTAAAGAGGTACCCGGCGCACGCACTGAGTCGAAGTGTTTTAAGTAAACTTCCTTAAGTAACCGGTCTGAGTAACTGACCACTCAGTGCTGTCCTCGACTACAAGGTTGACCACTACGCAAAACGGTCACGGAGGAACGCGCTGTTGAGCTTTACGGCGCTTTTTACGGGTACTTGGTTACAATTCTTTACAGGAATCGTTCATTTTTTTAACGTGTAACGACGATTCTGACAGCAGCAGTATTCAACGTTCGTCTGTATATTTATATATTTTTGACGAATTTCCACAGGGCACAGCCTGGCTTATTCTTTATCATTCGTCGTGCTTTACGGGTGCCGGGACTTGACGCTGTCCGTGCCATGCTTAGCTGGAATTAATTATTATAAATGAATCCAAAGAGAGATACAGCTACAATAATGACTGGAAGTTTGCTCCGTGACGTAATGCACGTCTTTACTAGGAACTATTATATATTTTTGTTATTATATTGTGGACTGATACAAGTAACGTCCAAGCCATATACAGGTAAGGGAACATTGTGTTTTCTTTATTGCAGTTTTTTATTTTCATTTAATCATAATCAACATAACCATATTTGTGTTAATATTTTATAAAAATGCTAGAGGGGGAGTTTTACTGTAAACAAGCTGGGTGTATGTATAAATCATATGTGAAAGGAGTGCTACCAGTCTTACACACAACAGAACATTTATCTGTTTTATAATAATATCTATAAGACACGGGAAATGAGTCAACACATCACTTTTATCTTCATTGTAATGTCTTTTATATATCATATTACTCAATGGAAACGCATTTATTTAAATGCTTATTTTATGACAATTTTACATTACAAGGACTGTCGATGATTTTCCTCCATTTCTACATATGTCAGAGCAGTCTAAATAGCAGAGACAATATTGTTTATTTGGGACGCTGTGTGGTTGGGGGCGTGGCACCCTCTGTCGTTCCCTTCCTAGCTAGCTGAACAAAAGTAGAACGTCTGATTATGAACCACAGCAGGTGCTTTTGAGACATTTTGCTGCTGATATCAGTCTGCTTTTTGCAGGTTACAAAAATACCCTTGAAAGAACACTGAATGAATACATCAAGGTTTCTCGTGGTACAAAAAAAAGGCCTGTCTCAAGCATTGATAGATATTGCTGGTGCACCTTTTGGATGAAAATATGAACAAAAAGGTTTAAACTTTAATAAAAAGTGTGTTACTCCTATATAATCACAACAAAAGATTCAAAGCATTGCTTTTTCTCGTGAAGCATTCCATTGAGTTCTTTTTGTTAAGTGAAATTACAGCTATATAGGTAAGTTGAGGCAGAGGAGGCAGATGAATTTTATTTTACTTGGGAGAAAGGGTTACCACTCACGGGTCCTTGTGACTGTGGTTCGCCTGGTCACTTCCCATACTCTGGCCACTCTCTCGTCCACCATGAACATATTCACGTAGACCTCTTTTGTAACCATCTTTTCCATCTCTATTTTAAGAAGGGCGTCTTGTCTCTTTCGCAAGCTAATGGTTTTAATTAACGTTAGAACGCAGCCAGGGTACAATGTGTCCATCACGAACCGCGTTTTATTACCCGGTTCACGTACTGAGGGGAGATTACAGTGGTACAGTATGGTATACGGCGTTGGTCACGCGCGGTCAACTTTCACGGATTAAGTCTCCACGGATAGGGGCAGGGGGGGGGGGGGGCGGGTGTTAATGTGTGTCAAAATAAGCGGCCTGTGGCGGTGCGTTATCGGAGATAAGCATAACTAATTCTACGAGGCAGGTCTGTCTACCTGTTACAGAAGGCATGGGACCTCCTTTCTTCCCCGACAATGCTTCTTATCTCAGCTTTGGGCTGAGATACAAGCTGTTCGTGTTTTTTTAAATAAAGCACCCATAGTGCATTTCTGGTAGGCTGTATTAAAGCAAAGCAACATTTTTAACATAAGCTATTTGCGACTGGTTACTCGAATGCATGGATACTCTTAAGCACTTCTAAAATACCCGACTGTGTGTGAATAATTTTCTCTAGACATGTTATTAAAAAACAGGATTGCACTTTAAATGCATTGTCAGTATACTCCAAATTAGTAATAATACCCCTGCTTTGTGTGTAGAGGACCAGATTTAGTAATTATGCGGTCAATTTTTAAAAAAATTCAAAAATCTTGGAAGGGTGTTCAATTTAAACGGTGGTGTTTGAACATAAAACGATGGTGCTTGCTTGAAAACCCACGTGAGTGCACTATATAGGTAAACTCGCGTGAAGACAGCCACGCAGGTGAACCGTAGAATGCGTAAAAAAGAGATAAAAAGAGACCATTGCATACCGTGATTCCCGTTTAAAAGCAGGGTCGGTCTCCTGTCCTCCCAGTTCACATTCCACGTGCTCAGAGAAGTCGTGGGGTGCGATAAAATAAAAGGGGAATGTTGAGGTTAAGTTGAATTGTATAAATTATAGGGAATTATATAGGGTTATGGTGAGGTTATCATGATTAAACACAGCGCACTTACTTGCGCACTCATGCATGTATAGAAGCACACACACACATACACACACACACACACACACACACACACACAGTCGTTTATATACAAACAGACACGTGCTACTCACACTAACTCCCTGACAAGCATGTCTATGAACATACACACCCGTGCGCTCACACGCAAAGACAAAAAATCTGTACGGATAAACAGACAAGCAGACAAACAGACAAATGTGCACAAACTCTCACAAACGCTGATCTCTCTCTCTCTCTCTCTCTCTCTCTCTCTCTCTCTCTCACACACACACACACACACACACACACAATAACATCCAAACACACTCAAACACGCGAGTGCGACATCTGGGCAAAATGTTCCGATTCCCTAATTGTCATTATCTGTGCTGATCATGAAATTATATGTCTATTATATGTCGATTATCATGTGGTTTGTGGGTTGGAAGCAATGCGGAATTCGAACACAAATATTTAATCAGTGTGACAACTAGCGCCGAGTCACTGGATATCTAGGTGTACCCACTCCCTCTTTGGCAGGAATGGCAGCCCTAGGAATAGAAAATCAGGGTCCAATATCATTAGTACAGGTTAGGATTAATCGGAGGTTTGGGCTTAGTGTGGGAGACGAACTGCAGTTCCTAGCAGAGTGCCATTCTTGTCATACAGGCCCAGCTTGAAGCCAGGAGCTCCTCCAGGAAGTCCCCATTATAGCAAGTACACGTGGTTGCGTACATCATGTGTTGGCTGAAGGTGAAGCTCTGATCTGTTAGACATCTGAGACTTGAGTGACAGAAGACACTCACGTGCATGGAGACATAAGCCTACCGACAGAAATATGAAGATCATGATAAGGGGCAGGGGAGGCAAGCCGTGCGTTGCCTTCTTTTTTCCTGAACTCACTTTGCCTTTTCCCCACCACTCTTTCGTTGCCCTTTCCTACAGACTCAAACTTCGCGCTGACATAGTAGGTCAAAACTCAACGCTTCATTTTATCTAACTTTTCTCAATTCAAACAAGTAACAAGTTCTCCACACTCTTTTGAAAACGCCAAATCAACCCTAAAGGACTACACCTTTATCTCCTACGTGGCCCATTCACCATCTCATTATTCATTTTTGAAAGTAAGATTTAGTGACCCCCCAAATTACAAACACCCCACCTCTCCCTGTCTCCCACCCACCCACCCACACATCCACCCACGTCTCCGAACCCCATAAAACAACACTTCTTTTTATCACAGCTGATAAAAGCTTAGCAACAACACCAAAATAAATAAGGAAACTATATGACATATCCAACTGACGCCCTTATTAATTTTCCACACAGGACTGGGCATCGGTTTACTCACCATGCGCCTTACATAACCCCCTCTCCCATCCCATCCCCTCCGCGATAAGACGCTCAGCTTCAAGATAGCTGGAAGAACATTAAGAGGACATTACGGTGAAAGTGACTAATAACTTGAGATTGTTTTCTAATGAGAAGAAGGCGCCTGCCGCCATCATGGATTCTGTTCTGTACTTTATACGGATGCGCTCTAAGATATTTGTAAGCGCCACGAAGGACTCTTTTTTTTGGACATTGACCGTAAGGAACTGCATAAGGAAGAGTTTCAGTATATTTTTGCAGGCAAATTTGTTATTATGACTAATGAAGCCCATAAAATAACCAAAGGGCTTAGTTTGTGTGCCATATTAAACGCAGGAGGAGCGTCATATTCAATGTTGCAAAAATAAGGCTCGATTACATTTGGAAAAAGCTGGTCTCAGTGACCTAAAACCCGAACACACCATGTCTTTGATACAGTACATGTACTTGGAGCAAGGCAATGTAGATCTGATCCGAAGTGATCAAAATTAAAAATACCCGCAATTCAGTCTAAAGCTGCATTATTCCATCATTGCACATAATGGCCTTCTAATTTCTCAAGGACAAACAGAACCCTACTGCTGTGCAGCCATAGCACTCACATGTTGTACGCTATAACAGTACGCAAAATAGTTGACAATCAAAACAACCTTCATATATTTTATTTTATATTTCACGCTTCTTTATCCCTCCGGTGTTTTAATCTTTCACCTGCGTGTGCTCATATTTGCAAACATATATCGCCGGTGGAATAGAAATACATATAGTAGTATTTGAGTCAGGGCTACCGTACTACTCAGAATGAGGAAGGTAAACTATCTGTTTTGTTTGTTCCACAAGCAGACCTTGGTGGCATTTATACAGGTAGATGATATTGATTAATTTTCATGTAATTGAAGTCTACCCTGCATCTTTAAGTTTCTTCGTGGGGTCATGATGGACTATGTAAATTGTAGTGCCAGAGTTCACATGCTTAAGAGCTTGAGAGAGAGAGAGGGAGAGAGAGAGAGAACAGCCCATGCTTATCAACAGAATATGACGATCAGGCTGATATCAAGTTAAGCGCAAGAGAGAGCCGGTGTGAGAGAGGCGCGCGTCGGCACCCTTTAAAATGTAAAACTCCACTTCACACTATCTACTACGTGGTGGCCTTAACCCTTTGAAGAGCACTATTTGCAGCATAATAGTCGCATAACGTACTTAAAAAGGTGTACATCTACATCAGATATGAAGAACAGTCTCTATTTAGAAGTCTACCTGGCGTTGAGTGACAGAAGAACGTGATTTGAATTGATAAAATCATTTAATAGATGTATCTTTACTAAACAATACTCTTTTCTTTGTGTCGTAGAGCTTTTCACACATATAATCCCATGATACGCTATCTGTTGTCCATTGTTGTAAGCTGAGGGGGACACTGTGTAATTTAATAGATTATTGTAATGTGGTCTTACTGTAATTAATGCATTAAATTGTTGGCATGACGCCCTATCTTTACTTTTGCAATTATTTTAGGAGTGAGCTTTTTTATCAAAATTAATTTATACCTTGCTTAGAAGACACAACAATAAGATAGAAAGAAAGCTATGGACGTCTTTTTATATCTTCTGACAATTGATGCTCTTAAATCGTAGTTGCAG